TGTGTGTGTGTGTGTGTGTGTGTGGGGTGGGGTGGGGGGCGCTCACGCGTGCCCGAGTGCGTATTTTTGTGTGTCACTATGAGTCTCGTCTCGGGCTTCCCTCACCACCCGGTCATGCACCATCACGACAGCCACCACTATTCGCTGCATGCGGCGGCGGCCGGTCGGTGTCACGAAGACACCGGTGCTCCACCGTACTTCACAAGCTGGTTGATAAGTCACGCGGATATGTCACCTACAGAGTATAGCCTTGCGCCCGGCTACAGCCCGGAGTACCATGGCAACAGCGGCAGTGGGTCAACCGTCGGACTGGACCCACACCATCACCACTACTATGGCCCTGGAGGGTTAGTTCCAGGACCCGGCACCATCTCGATGAACGGAACCACGGTCGGTATGCACCATCATCACCACACTCATCCTCGGACCGTGAAGCGAAGACCAACGGCCAATCGCAAGGAAAGGCGGCGGACCCAGAGCATTAACTCAGCTTTCGCGGAGCTGAGGGAATGTATCCCTAACGTCCCGGCCGACACCAAGCTGTCCAAGATCAAGACGCTGCGCTTGGCCACCAGCTACATCTCTTACTTAATGGACATCCTAGACAAGGACGAACAACACGGAGACACCCAGGCTTTCAAGGCCGAGCTAAAAAAGACGGAGGCTCGGGAAGAACGGCGGAAAAGAGAGGCGGTAAGATGTGCTCTACGGCCACTATTTGTTGTGAAAATGAGGTTAAAAGGTATTCATTATAATAATCGCTTAACGCAAACAGTACACATGTAGTATTGTCTCTGGTTAGCTGTTCATTAGTAAAGGAGTTATTAAAGGAAGGTTCTAACGCTGGAGTGGGCAGGATGGATTTAGAGTTACTTTCGAAGAAAAGTAACAACAGTTTAAAATCGGATTATAATTACAGGCAATTACAGATTTAGAATTCTGTACTGTATATCTGGCAAAGCAAGACACTCTTTTTTCCAAACCAAATGGATAAATCATTTCCAATGGTGACCTTATATTTAAGACGAATTAAATGAGTTTATTTTTACTCGACTCAACAAATTACCTAAGTTCACAAATTTGATTCACTCCTAACACTGAATTATTTCATATCGATTTATTTGACAAAGACGAATCATTGAAGGAGACATTTCAACACGTTGTTGGTAGGCAGCGTCTGACAGGAGACAATAAACATTCATTTTGTGCATCGTGGGATTTACTGAAGGTTCGTAGTTCTTTTAAAACACTGAGTCACGCCGTTTACTTTCCACAAAATAAAAAATTGTGTAAAATGAACTTCCGAATAGTCTGGAATTTATAGAATACGGGGCATCTTTTCGTATCTAACTGCGGGTTGTTTTACATGATGTGAAGTAAAATCGACACATTTAAAATTGTACTTTTTGCTTTTGCACGAGTGCCCATATGTTTTTTCCACAGCAGCCTATTCATAAAGCGGCATCAGCACATAGTTACTATATTTTACGGCTATTAGGTTTAATGTTCTCTACAATAATAGTGATAAATTCAGTTAACAACAACAGTTGTGGCACCGTAAATAAAGTTTTAAGCTATTGTCTGCTGCAATTTGACCGAGATTCACCAACAAGCCGCGAATATTCTGCATATTGAATGAAAACTAATGGACTGAATAGATAGAGCTGTTATCAGCTCGGTGTATATTAATTTGCACTGAATTTAAATTCCAGCATTAAGACGCATCCCTTATGATACTTAAACTACTGTATAAGTGTGTAGACATTTAGACATCCAAAACAGTCTCTACAGTGCGTGATGAGTGAGTGGGGTGGGGAACAGGCAGAGACCAAGCCAAAATCTACTGTGGTAGGGGAAAGGGGAAACAGCAGCACGGGCTTATGGTGTGCTAGAATTACACAGTACACAAATGGGGGGTAATCAGAGAGCAACATTTATTTGGAGATGGGCTGCTGAAATAGCCAATAAACTGAGAGCAAATAGTAAAATTGAAGAGTGTTTCCCTATTTTTGTAAAGTCACATGACTTCTTTTGCACTGATCACTCAAGCAAAAACATATATCATCATAAACATACAAAAAGATTACAAATACATGAAATAAGTCTACAGAAAGCTGGCTGCCATTCTCTGACGGTTTGGAGCCAGGAGGGCCAGGTGCTGCCATACAGACCGACCACTATTATGCCTGGAACACTATCATCCTTACGCCAGTAACGCTATGTACTTTTGGTCACTTTTGGTACTTTTAGCTCTGGCTGCACTGCCAGATGTGTAATGTGGAAGCCAGCTTTAGAGGGCTGTGTAGTTGTTTGCTATTTATTTGTTTGGCCAATCCAACAGTTGAAATTCCATTTCAACGGATTTTTACCTGCCTTTTGCATTCAGCTGACCCCCGCACACACTAGCATTTATCTGGCCAAAACATAGTAATATCAAACGGAGGCCATATTTATATTTATATGGTCATAGCTTATGTCACCGGTTCATGCTTCTGCATTTTCTTTATAATGCTTATTTATGTCAGAATAAATATTATCAGCACAACAAGTTGCCTTTCTTATAGTGACCACTGAGCTTTGTCCTGCAGAGAAGATGAGTGTGGATGATGGCCATGTGTGGTATTGTTTGTTCAGCAGACAAACAATACCACAGCAGAGACTGGAGGAGAATAATCATTTCCTGTCTATTGTCTATAGGAAGTGTGGTGCATAATTGAAGCCAGAGAGCTTTCTTTTTTCCCTCACATTTCAAAAAGAGAATGTAGTCCACTTCATAACTCATGTCAGCTCTCTCATGAGACTCCTGGCTTGGGCTGAATGCACATTTTCACAGCCCAACAGAGACACTACAGCTGAATAAAATTATATCCTACGTGTCAACAGAATCCATTGATTAGTTTTAAAAAATCCGCAAAATAATTAATAAGAAGAAGCATCACTATGTTACATCAGTGAACTAACATAATGGCGCTTCTGTTCCTCAGCCTGGTCTTCCATTAATAATAAAGTGGGAAACCCAGAGGACAACTTACAGCGTCCTTAAGAGGACAGACCTCTAAGCTTGCAAATAAGGGGGAGGGGTGCGTGGCCGGTCTCGAGGAAATAAACTCAGTTTTGTTGTTGTTGTTTTGTAAGTTTACATCGCAGTGCGTAAAATAGGGAATTAAGATCTGGATATAACGCAATTCACAGAAGGTTTTTTTTCTAGTTCAGTTTGTGTTTCGCTAGTTTCAAGGATACAGTCTGTTAACAATAAAATCCCTGGATGCTGGATTAACTATTTTCAGGCCTTTGCTTTCACGTATTAGGTCATTGTACGTCACACACACTCATAACCACACACACGCGCC